TCCTGCTGATGCAGAGGATGTGGATCCCCCCACAGACCTCTCCAGCATAAGTATGTTGGGCAATGCTGCTTTTCCAAAGCCTGGAACACACAAACAATTCAGATTGCTGCTTCAGACCTCTCTGAATTTACCTATTGCCAAGTTATTGGTTGGGGGTTCTGGGTTGGGGTTTGGTTTTTTTGATCATTTTGTTTCATTTTGTTTTTTTAACTCAGGGCTTATTGCTATTCCATTCTCAACAGTGCATAGCAGAAAGAGCTGAGATTTAACAGAACTAAAAAAAGAAACCTCTTTGGAACCTCAACAACAGGCTGTGTGTTGTGGTCGATGTGCTTTCACAATCCCTTTCTTTCCAGTTTTTCCAGTATGGCCTGAATTCTGTGGACGGACTCTTTCCTGGCCTGCCGAACACTGTCCTGGCCCCCAGTCTCGATGGAGTCCAGTTCCAGCAGCAGCTTGGTCAGCATCTCCTCCAGGAGCCGGTAGGATTTATCTGTCTTTTTTCCTACAAATTCATCCACCTCCTGCTCCAGCTGCACAGCCTCCCCCATGACGTGGAGGATTCTCTGAATCTCTGGCTGGACACCAGCAGAGTTTGCTGGGGACGGGTCACCAACTTTAAAGCCAACTTCCCGGCTGCCAGGCAGGAGCTTCCGAGGGGCACGGTCGTACATCTGGGGCTGAGCACTGTACTGCACCTTGGGGGCTGGGGTGGGGGGCCTGTGGCCGTTGGTTGTCCCACAGTGCTGGTGGTTGACATCAGAGTAGTAGTTGTGTTGGTTTGTGCTTTGCTCGGGTCTGTCATAAGCAGCATCCTACAGGGCAGGAGGGAAAAACATCTCTTTGAAGTGTGTGTCCTGGTTTGAGCCTGACTGTGTTTTCCTTCAAGCCAGGTTCTTAATCTCGCATTTGGAGGGCAGGGAAGCAGAGCCAAAGGAATTGGGCAGATCCTTGCCAAGAGGATCATGTCTAGAGGAGACAGCTTGAGACACTGAACACCTGTTACCCATGAACAGGGCAGATGCTGGTTAGATTCCAACATGGTCCCATTTGGATACTCTGGAGAGGACACTTCTTGGCAGGTAGCTACTTTCGAACTGTCCCCAAACAACAGCAGTTCCTGCCTAAAAGATTCCTCAGTAGAGGATGCCTGTGCCCAGAACAAGCACTCATTGAGGAATACTGGAGCCTGACCCACACACTCCAGGAGGATTTCTGACAGCCTGAGCTGCTCAAGGGAAAAGAGCTGGACAAGGCCTGACCCACTGCAGGACCTGCCCTTGAACTTCTGGTGTCTCAGGACCTTTCTGGAATTACAGCCATGGATTTGGGGTTTCTGTACCCAAACAGGAGATGTTGCTGGCAAGGCTCTGATGCTTTGTGTCTACCTAAACTAACAGTGCTCGGAGGAAGGGGCATTCCCAGGAGACAGAGGTAAGGCTGTATGATCTAGGGGGGAGTCTGTACCTTGGGGTCCCAGCCGGGGGTGTGGGAAGGAGCTCCAGTGCCAGCCCAGGCTGGGTGTGACTCGGAGGCAAAGGGGTTCCCGGGCGCCGGCGCGGCGGGCCAGGCGTAACGCGGCTGTGCCCCGTAGACAGGGTGGGGGGCCCAGGTGTCCTCCGGGGGTCTGGGCTGTGGTGTCACCCCTGGGTTGCTGTCTCCATACGGATACTGTGGGACA